ATAGTTAGGTGTTGCTATATCACTTATTCTTCATGGGTGTAAATCCATTGAAATAATCAGGGTGAATGTTTGATACTAGCTTCGTGTCCTTCAATGCTTACTAATTAGCGTTTGCTTCCGTATCAAATTTACGCTTTGGAATGCTGAAAATGTTTACCCTGTTNTTTGTTCACTCCGCTGGATGGGGTTTACTACGCAGTCATCTTGCTGATGACATTGTTTGTCGGCATTTCGATACCTGTGGCTGGGTTACAATCATCTGTTTACCATATCCGATCATTTGTAACCCGATGAAATCCCCAAAGCCATCCTCTCTCTCTCTCTGTCTATTTTCCTTGTCACCGGCAGTCCATCAAAAATCTGTTCTCACTCACTCCTCCTTCCATACATCCTTACCAGCAGCATAATTATCTGTTTTGTTCGTAGGTTAGTCGCAAAAAAGTATACTCATTCCTGCCAACCTTCCTGTCCGTACTGCCTTTTACCTTCATCATTTGCCTCACAGTGGCTTTTGACAGTATTTTCTCACTCCAATAGATAGTTGTGAATCCCACAAATACTCCATCCCTCAAAGAGCATCGGGATTTCATTGACCTAACACTGCCTCGGTGAAATCAATGAAAACTGGTCGAACAATACCACCGCGAACCTTTGAACCATCAAAACAGGAACTTTTGATTATTCTTGATCTTTGTTCCCGGGGTGTGAACATATTGTTAATAATTTATATGCACCGAATTTTGACCAAGTTAGACGCTTTTCTATGCTTGCCACTCAATCATAGGGGGTAGAGACAAAATTTCACTGGCATAACAGTTTCCGATAGCAAACAGCCATGTAGCTTAAATGAAGTCATGTGAACGGATAGCAATTACCGCTAAAGCACATGAAGACAGTTAGGCTGTGGGCCATTCCCATATCCAGACAGGCGAAATCTCTCTCTCTCGCACTCTGGTTCCGTTTCTCTCCCTCTGTCTCTTTAACTCTACACAATTCGTTAGTCTTACCTGCTTTCCAGTCCTCACGAGGTTCCCATCATCTTACCCGATGGGATTGCGCGGAACGATGAGAAAACGTGTGCTTCTGTGGCGTAAGCGCAGAAATTTGTTTCAACACGTCAGAAGTGACTTTGTTTTAAATTAACCAAAGGACTGAGAAAATGAGGAAAATTACATGCGCGCGCCAGCACACACACGGACGTACATACACAGAGACACTAGTAGACACATTCCGCGCTTGGGCGCAACCCTAATCCCGGACAAATCTGGATGCATCCCAGTGTTAATTCTTATGACATCCGGACACTTTCCTTGTCCCTTGTCATTACAGATGAATAAATAACAAAATACATTCACCGGTGGGAAATTTTACAAACATCGATTTATCTCATCAATACCTTGATTAGTCTATATGTCGATAGAGCACACCGGTTTTGCTGCGAAGCGTTTTAATGTCCACTTAGGGTGCAGTATTTATGTTTGAGTGGGACAGAAATTTTGCAGCTAAATTACTTTCATTTTTGTCGGTTGGATCAGTCTACGTTTATCACATTTTTACATCAAAATTGAAATTAAAAAAACGTTAGAAAAATGGAACATAGATGGTATCACTTGGAAGAGGGAAGCTGTATGTACTGTTCATATCATATTCAGTGAGGCGTAGATACCAGTCTATCTGGTTGAATCCGTGCAGGTATTCCGTTGAAAGAACGTGTCAATACCAGCGTGTTTTTGTTTGCATTTTACAACATTGGTCGCGTGCAGATGTGGAATTTTGCTTACCTTACCGGCAACGGCAACCTCCCCCCCTATTATTCCCCCTTTGTCCCAAATAAACCACAAAATTCAATCTTCCACCTGACAGGAATTATCCCAAGTAATTTTTGCAATTGAATAATGTTTCGAGGTGCTGATCAGCAGCTTTCGAAAAGAAACTGAATGAGTTCAAGTTGTTGCTTTTAGAGTTAATTTTGATTTGGTATTGCGCAGACACCGGTAGATAAGCCTTCATAGTCTTAAACCAACTAAAAATCCAAAGTTAGAAAAGCCTAACCAAGGAAATTATTGTAAACAGCTGTTTTTTGTCTCCTGGGGCGTTTTGCACAACTGAACCGATTCAAGCATCAGAAATACGTAAGGGATCTTACAAACATCGTGTGCCACTACGAAGGTCGAAATTTAAAACTTTCCAAGGTTTCATTCAGTTTATACATAGATGAATCAAAATTGGGAGCAGAAACGACATGACCAAATAATGAACTTCGAATAATGCACACTGTTCGGCCAGATTAATGAAGTCGGCATTCTAGCCAACATTGTTGAAACATTAATTTGAATAAGTGCCCTTTGAGATAGTGTTTACATCCAATAAGTCTCTTAACCTCGTCCTCTCCGAACCTATTTGGGTAGGACACTTATTCACTTTATTTGTGCTAAGTCCTATGTACGATCCCAACTGTTCCTCGGGAAGGCATGCATCCTATTCCAATACACAGATCACGGTATGTATGAATCCAAATTGATGAAGGGTATTTCTGTCCACGTATACTAGGTGTAATCCATAAACCGTGCAGCTAAAGTTTCAGTTTAATGTCGTTGCTCTCGAGCCCGGACGAGGACGCATGGAAATGTTGATGAATAAGATCTAGAGGAGAATAAGAGCTTACCAGTACTTCTCAGTGGGCATTGCACACAAAATTCAATGGAGATAGGGTTTTATTTCATACTTTAAAAATGACCCAAATATCTGCAATGCTCAGTAATTTAATTCTTTGGTTTGTGTGCTCTCATGTTTTAATAACAAATAACATACGAATCGTGGACTGGGTGAGGCAGCGCGTTACAAACGCAAATCGGAGGATGGCAATTTGTCAGNTCTTGTATGCCTGATTCATCATTTCGTTGAAATAAACCTTCACTCTATCAAAACTATAGATCGACAGGTACATAAAAATTCTCATCCTGGTTTCTCTACTCGTGGATGGTAGATATTCATATGCCCCATTGATTTCACTTTTGGCGCTGGTCTCTGTGAATCTGTTGATCGCACACAGCCGAATTCCTCGGTTGCGAATAATGAACCTACCACCGAATTGCGGGGATAGAGAGAAAAAAACGCTGTCTCCGGTCTATTCCCACCGAGGGCGAGCCTCATGCAATTTGACAATCTTCTTCTTCTTCTGTTCCACTTTACGGACCGCGTGTCAATGATTCACGCCACAGACGATCATCCTGAACATTCACATCAATGTGACTAATCAACGAGCAGCGGCTTGAAAGTTCGTCCAGGTGGTTTGCTCGCCAGGTCCGCTCGCCTGCTAGTGCGTGTGTGCGTGCGTGCGTGCGTGTGCTCGCTAGCATATTGCGTGCTCAAATTGTGGTGACTGTTGCATTTCGTGTGGAAGATCGCGCTCTCTCTCTCTCTCTCTCTCGCTCTTTCGCGCCCAACTCACATATGTGTATGTATGAGTATGTGCAATCAAGAGTTACAAAGAGCTACAAGGTGATTCGCGAAAATCACTCTGGAGACCAAATGGGTTGAACCCGGCCGGGGTAGGGGATAGGGGGGGTGGGTGGGGGAGAGCAGGAGGAGCGGGTGATTAGAGCTTTAGCCACGCGATCACAAGTGTACACTCGGGAGAATCTGTGGCTATCGGGATTTGTCAAGATGCATGCTGAACAAAACAAATAACAGATTTCCGTACGCTTACAGAGAATGTGACTTGTGTGCTTGTCAAGGGCGAGAACAGTGCACAAGATACAAAACAAAAAGCCGGTGAAAGTGAATCTACCCCGTTCATCTGCGATATTTCGGATTTGCAGTTCAAAATAGGACGTTCTCAGGAATCCATTCGAGCACCTCTATTGGGCGTAATTTGCTTACTGCTTTTGATGATATAATAACGTCGGACTGGTGTGATAAAGAACTACCAACAATGTATATAGGTACCTCTCTTGTATTCCCGTCTGTCAAATAGAACCTGCTTTTGATTGAAGTGGACACTGATTCCGAAATCTGTCGCATAAGATTCTGTTTATCAAACATAAAGATGATACCGTTTTTCCTCACCCGAGTGGAAGGAAGAACAGGAATTTATACCCACTAGCACATACAGAAAAGTTGTTCCGATGAGTATTATTAACAAGTTAAGTACCAAAATTGTGTGCCGGGCCCTATTTTAAAAATTTCTCTTTCGAAGTCATGGTTCCCGGGCACTCTCGGGGCGGAAGCTGTTAGATATTGTGTAAGTGCCTGTATGTGTGGTACGTGCGTGTGTGCGTTAGACCAGGTATGCGATTAGCGAATAGACACAGAAGTGACGGAAATAATTTTGGCTCAAGGACATCTCACTAAATCTTTTATAGCTGTACCACTGATCTAGAAATGATTGATTCATTTTGGAAATATGCTCATTGTGTGTTTTCACTGCGATGATCTCTATCGCTAATGTAGTTTAACATAGAGAAAACGAAAAAAAATTTCAGCTGGTTCTACAGAAAAGTGTTGAATCAATTTTGTTATGTAAATAGTACGGTATTCCTTAGTTTATTACCAGTGCCGTTCAGTAAAAAACGTAGTCTTTGAGGAAAATGCTTGTTGATTCTGGTGAGGATATCTCGACAGCACATTAGCTTGGCCTTTAGTCATTCCCATTTGCTGCTGCTGAAGACCAATGTCACGGGGTGTTAACATTTCTTTTAGTCTTCTCAATCGCTTACTTAAAACATACAACCATATATATATATATATCACATGGGGTTATTCAGTAATGGTGAATGAAAGGTTTATAGACATTCACAGTAGACCATTCCAAAAAGGTAACCTGGTCCCCAACGTCAGCAAAAAGACCATCTACTTAAAGCTTGCGTTCAAAGGTGACCACATCTACAATGATGTGCGCCACAAGTTGAGTTCAGATCTAGACGGTACATTCCCATCTGTTCAACTCAGACTCATTGCCTCTACTAGTGAAATTGATCTGGACGAACGTAAACATGGCTGGCGAACCGGTTCTGCCTCACACACTGTAAACCAGTTTACCTGCAGTTGCGGTGACGCCTACATAATCAGAACAAACGCCAGCTCTCGCAGCGGATGGCTAAACATATTCCCAAATGATTGGTGAAATTGATGACGCAACCGACAATTGATGGTCAAGCGGCTACAATAACTCCAGGATCATCTGTTGTAAAATATCTGATGACAACAAGACACACAGTTGACCCCGATTCGCCTTTCAAACCGCTTTTACCTAATCGCAATGCCATATGCTTAGCAATTAGTAAAGCGCTGCCTATTCGGTTACATCACTCGACCAATCCACTTACCGCGGAGTTGACCTTTGTACGTACATTCAGTATATCTAAATAACCCCATGTGCTATATATAAGTTAGTATGTTTTAAGTAGGCGATTGAGAATATTACAAGAAATAATAACATCTCGCGACATTTGTCTTCTTTCTATAGTGATGAAACAGAGATAAAGGAAACGCCTGAAGAATTGTAGATTACGTCT